GTGACCCAAAAAAGGGAAGAAGCGGGTAAAAGATAATGGATGGATGGAGCACATCTTGTTCTAAAACCTGGATATAGTTGTATGCATTGATGGTGCTGTTCCACAAGCATTAATGCACCACCATACCATCAGAGAGGCAGGCTTTGGAACTGAGCTGGCGTATGGCCCCCCTCTTCTTTAGGCGTCTTTGTTTCTTAAAATAAACCTCAGATTTGGACCCGACTGACCTCAGAACAGTTCTGGACTTCACCTCAGTCCATCTGAAATGAGCTCTGGTCCAGAGAAGACGGTAGCGGTTCTGGCTGGTGTTCACATCTGGCTTCTTCTTTGTCTGATAGAGCTTTAAGCAGCATCTGTGGATGAGCGGTGTTTACAGACGATGATCTGTGGAAGAGTTCCTGAGACCCAGAACAGAACCAGACCTGGTTTTAATGCAGGGGTCCCTGAGGGCCCGAAGGTCACGACCATCCAGACCTTCAGCCTCGTCCTTTGAGCTCAGAGATTTCTACAGATTCTTCTAATCTGTTGAGATTATGAACAGGAGGTGATGGAGATTAAAGTATTTCATTAAGGAACTTTATTCTGAAATTGTTGCTCTAGACGGTTTTTATTTTTCCAGATTGGAGAACTTCTGACAGATTCAGCCGTCGTCCTCCTGACCTGTTGACCTTCACCTGATTAGTTACAAAATTCTCCTCCAGCTGTTCCTCATTTGAACCAGTTAGTTTCAGAACCTTTTGTCGCCCCCGGGCCCAACGTTTCCGAGAAGCATCGCTCCTTTCAAATTTACAATTACTGTTTTTTATGTACACTTTCTTAGTTTACAAATTTGACATAATTCCTGCGCTCTGTTGTAAATGACATGTGGGTTTATGAGATTTTCAAACCTTTATGTTCATTTTGTTCTCTTTAAATTTTACACATTTATAAAATTAGTTGAACATGTTACTTCTCAGAATGTGTCTAAATGAGAGAGAATTAGAAGACAAAGTCACTTTTATAGCTTTAGAAATGCTGCAATCATAAATATGTTTGATTAAAAATGTCTTTTAGGAACACTTTGTGAAACTAAACTTAAGATTTTATAAAAGAACATTCAGCTAATCGAGACAATGATCCTCCACTGCCAGCAGGGGGCGGTGCAGCTCCTGGTAATTCATTTTATGTTGCAGGTAAAACATTTTTACTGCTTTTAAGCAGCTTTTTTAATTTGTGCTTTTGTTTAAACTTTGTAAGCTTTTATCATTTAGCTCCTGCGTCCTCATCTTTGTGTTTTAAACTTTGTATGAAAATATCTTGAGTTCATAAATACGCGAAAGTCCATGTTCAATAATCCTGGTATAAATCCAACAATGTTCAGTCACGGCATCCGGACAGTTTATTTATTTATTTTTCTGAGACGTTTTGTCCTTCATCCAAAGGACTTCTTCAATCTGAGGAGCCACCAAACAAACTTATTCCCACAAACAGCATACCCCATAGTGGGGAAAAACCAGTTTGCTGCTGCTAAAATGGCCTCCAGTTGATAATCTCATCAACGGATTAGAAGAATCTGTAGAAATTTGAGCTCCAAGGACGAGGTTGAAGGTCCGTATTTGATGGTTGTGATGTTGGGACAGGTCTGGCCCTGCCCGGAGGCCATCTTGGCACCAGCAAACTGTTTTTTTTTTTTTTCTACTGTGGAGTGTGTTTGTGGGAATCAGTTTGTTGGTGGCTCCTCAGATTGAAGAAGTCCTTTGGATGAAGGACGAAACGTCTCAGCCAAAAAAAGAAACCATCCAGATGACCTGACTGAACATCGTCGGTTCATAAATACGGGATTTCCCAACTTTTTAGCTTTCTGACCCCAAAGTAACATCAGTTGGAACCTCGTACATCTTTGAGCTCAAGTACACAAACTTTGCTAAAACAAAATAATTACTAAACTTTTCCTCCCATTTGGCTTTTCGTGTTATCTTTTGTAACAAAAAGTTTATGTTGTGTATGTGTGTGTTGGGGGATCATCTCGGAACCACAGACCTCCTGGTTTGTGGCCACAACGGGGCCCCAGAACCGCTGGTCTACTGTACGAGCACTGCAGAGTACACTTAAACATCAGTCTGTGATAAACAGTCTCTGTGTCTCCAGATGTGTAACCTGCTCATTCCAGATGCACTAATGCACCTCCATACCATCAGAGAGGCAGCGTTTTAAGCTGTACGGTTGGCGAAATACTCTGCAGATTTATTTATTTTTTGCTAATGGGTAATGCTTCTCCGTTTCCATGCGAACCTGGGGGAGAAACCAAATCCAAATACTACCTTGGCATCTGTTCTGACCTGCCTGTCTGAGGAGGGAGGGGCTCACTGCAATGTTTACACCTCTTCTACGAGACCAAACGCCTTTGTTTTCCTCGACGTTTGAAACTGTTGCAGTAGGAGGAGAAATGCGAGTTAATGGAGTTAAGCATCTCGTTCTACTGGTAATGTGAACCTGCGTATGTGAGGTCGTACAAGGACACTTCCTGCAGCCAGTTGTGATGCTTGAGGCTACTGAACTGTTCTCTGTGTTTGTTCAACAAGGTTCTGAACTGTTTTATGGGACAACGTGATTAATGCTACGTTCTGCAATGTTTCTTGGGGAAAAAAATCCCTTCCTGGTCTAAATAGTGACGTTAATGTTGTGCTGCTCCTTCGTGAATTGCCACCTTACCGTTTGTGTACCTGAATGACCCTAGAAGCGATGCTGTCGGTTCCAGTGCCTCTGGTAGGGTCTCAAGGCAGATTGGTACGATTTATGATTCCTGTATGGACTGAAGACAGCAAGGAGCTTGGTGTCCCTTACCTGGACGGGGGTTACTGGGTCCCTACCCTGGCTTACCAAAGCTGGATCTTGGGACGTGGAACGTCAGGTGGGGAAGGAGCCTGAGCTAGTGAGGTTGAGAGGGACCAACAAGGCAGAGTTGGGCTCACCTCGACGCACATCACGGGCTCCAGAATTATTCTCCTTGAAGGGCTGAACTTTATTTCACTCTGGAGTTGAAGTGGTGAGAGCCCACCTGGCTTGGTACCTGTGTGTTGGAGCTTTGGATGAGAGGTAGCTCCTTCAGGTGGAGGGGCGAGCTCTGACTGTTGTTTGTGCAACACCAACTGGTACTTCGCAGTACCGGCCTTCTTGCAGTCCTAAGCCCCGGGAGGGCGCGGGCGGTACTCTTTATTCTGTTGTAGGACTTTAAGTATGAGGAGACAGTTTAATCACACCTAAGTTATAAAGGTATCAAAAGGCTAGCTAATAGTAGCAAAAGGCTAGCTAATAGTAGCAAAAGGCTAGCTAATAGTAGCAAACGGCTATAGTCAAACCAGAAACTGTCCAGATGACCTGACTGAGCATTATTGGATTTGGTATCTGGATGATTGAGCATGAACTTTGTAAGACCAACTCAGCCAATATGCTATAGCAGATTTCAGAGAACAATGTTTCTGGAGGAATTAGAGATTCCAGTTTGTTTATATGGGGAAAATGTATATTTTTAAGTTAAACATTTGTAAAAGTGTAAAAGTTACAAAACCCCAAAGTCTTAGCAGCCATTTCTTGATTGAGCTGAACGCTGTGATCACCGATTGACTAAAAAGATGCACAAAATATGCAGTAGCTAAAATGCAAATTTATGGGTAAATTAAAAAAAGAGGGTAACACAATAAGTGCAGACTCGGAATTCACATTGTAAATGGTAAAAATCATCAGTATCCAAAGAAAACCACAAAACGCCTGTAAAACTCTTTGCTTACGATGATTATATAATTGTTTGACACAATGGCATGTTGCATTACAAATAAAACTAAATAAATAAACTAAGTAAAAGTGAAGTGCACCCCTAAAGTCATTGTAATAAATTAAGCCACATTAATTTCATAATCTTAGCCAAAGAGTGAGTTTAAAAACAGGATGATGCATATGGATTTGTTGAATAAGGAATTTGTTTTTAAAATAGTTATTGAATCAAGTAAAGTAGATGTTTAACATTCCGTTGAAATAAACCAGAATGCAGGAAATGATATCCGTTTTATTCAAAATTTTCTGAGGGAGGACACCCAGACACTCCATAAGCGTGTCCCCCCCACATTATAATTGCTTCTCACGCCCCTGCTAAGCGTTGCAGCCGCGTTTATCTCCGGAGTGAAAAAGTAAAGAGCGGCTCGGAACTTTAGCCCAACTCGTGCTTCAAACTCCACCCCTCAAGCTTTGGGGTGAAATAAAAGTTCAGGCATTGAGCTGTGATTTTGATCCAACTGTATTAAAAATAAACAAACAAAAAGTGTTTTATTGTTATTATGGTGTCCCTGCATGCCCGCGCTGACGTCGATATCAGCGCAACCATTTTGGTATTTATGCAAATGAGGAACCAGCTCGACCAATCACAGCGCTCCTCGGATCACTCTCAGCCAATCGATGGGGGAAGCTGTGACTCACCAAATAAGGAGAGACAGCACCATATAAGGAAACGTTGTATCTCTTTATAAGGAGGGAAGTAGTTCCCCGGTTGTGATATTACGCCGCTGTCACACAAACTGATATTAAAAATAAATGGTTTTAACATGCTACTAAGCATTAAAATATAACATATTTCAACACAACACACGATCTGTGGAGTACATATGAACTAACACGCCGAGTTAGCGCTACTTGTGTTTCGCAATGCGGACTAGATGGCGTGGCGGCGGCATATCGAGGACGCTGTTCGCGCTTTCCTTTTTGAGAAAGTGCTCGGAGTTTTGGAAAGAGAGGAGGAGGCCGATCCAAACCGAGCCGGGCTCCGCGGGTCTCGGGGGCAACGTCACTGTAGAAAGTTTGCATTAGTTATTTCCTGGAGTCCGAACCGTCACCGGGCCGGGGTTTGTTTACATTTTGTGGCCCGGGCGCGTGTGCGTTGTTCGCCCCCCCCACCCCAGTTACGGTACGACGCGCTCCCGCTTCTGTCCCGGGGAGGCTGGCGGTCCAGTGACGCGGTTCGGTAGAATATAATGTTACCCAGCCAGGTTGGATCTGGGTCAGCATCAGGTAGGGCCACTGCGGGACACGGTGCGGAGGTTGTCAGCGGCGGGATCCGTCCCGTGTTGATCCGAGCGGGGCAGCCGTTACCGGGGGAGAGCGGAGGAGCCGCCGGGATGCTGGGGGCGAACGGACCGGGGGGCTCGAGAGGCGTGAGACCGGGAAACGGGGCCGGGGTGAACCCGCTACACGCCGCCGTCCAGGGCAGCATGATGGTGGGGTTGAACGCCGGCGTGGTGCTGCCGCACGGGGCCCGGTTCGACCCGGAGCGGGACTGCGTTCCGCTGTGCAGCGGCTCGGACAACGACTCGGACTCCGGGGACGACGACGACCCGGTGGGTTCGGTCGGGGACAGCCGGAGAGGGGTGAAGCGGGAGCGGGGGGACATGGAGGCTGCCGCGGCGGGGCAGGAGGCGGGGGTCGCCCCGGGAGGGTACGGCCTGGTGCCCGGAGGAGTCGCCGGGGCGAAGCCGGGGAAGAAGACGCGTGGGCGGGTAAAAATAAAGATGGAGTTCATCGACAACAAGTTGAGACGGTACACCACGTTCAGCAAGAGGAAGACGGGCATCATGAAGAAGGTGAGTCCGGCCTCTGGGGCTACAAACAAAAACTAATTCATTTATTGTCCTTCTGAGGCCGAACATCAAGAAAAACTAGAAAATATCTGAATAAAGTTTGGAGGCTGCTGCCTCAAACCCCAACACAAACTTTGTAGTGATTTAAAAAAAAAAGCCACATTTTGACGTGTGACGTGCAGAGAGACCCAAGAAAGCTGCTGCCAGCGGCCTCACGGTTACCATGGTAACCACACGCCTGTGTCTCACTCCCTCAGCCTCCAACCACTTGTAGCTGTGCAAACACACCGAGTCGGACCTTTCCAGTTCTTGGCCCATGAGCCTGCAGGAGTCTCGTGGGAACCGGTGCACGAGTTCTAAAGTTGGTTCTCCCATCGCTTCCTGTTGCAACGAATGTGTCCCATCGGTGCGTGGATGTGAGAAAGCACTTTGGAATGATTTGTACATCTAGCAGAGTGATGTATGAACGGGTAAATGAGGCACAGATTGTTGTAAAGAGCTTTGAGTGCCTTGATCAGATGGAGAGGAGCTGTATAAGTTGAGTTTATTTACATGGAGACAAACAACCATTCAGGCTACAGCGTGCGCGCTCAGGACATTATTACCTGCAGTGTCCCCTCAGTGAGGACTGAACTTGGATGAATTCACTCTCTCACGCGCACCTAGACTGATTAGTAACTCTAAATTGTCCCTAACGTGCATGCTTTTGGTCTGTGGGAGGAAACCGGCGTTCCCGGGGAAAATCCACACGTCACGCAGAGAACAGGCAAACTCCGCCCAGAAAGGCCCCTGACCGGGATTCGATCTGGTGACCTGCTCGCTGAGAGGCAGCAGCTCTACCAGCTGCGCCACCGTGCTGCCGAAACCACAAGTCCCAGCGTTAATGTGACATCAACTGCCAACATATGCACAAACAGGACTGTTTACTCGGATGTGTTCTACTAAAACGTATCACCCATTTTTATTGCACTCGTTTGTTAATTTTGTCTACGACGTGCGTTTCCCATTTGAGATGCATGTTTTGATGTTCTGTCTGTCCCTTGTGTCTGATCCCGTGTGTGGCGTTCATGGACAGGATCTTGAGGCACAGTCGTGGAGAGGAGGGTGTCTGGTTGGGGATCCTCACGGTCTCTTCTCTGCTTTATGCAGATGATGTGTTGGTGTCTTCAGGACATGACCTTCAACGTGCACTGGGATGGTTCGCAGCCGAGTGCGAGGCTGCTGGGATAAGAGTCGTCTCCTGCATGTCCGAGGCCATTGTTGTCAACTGGAAACGGGTGAAACGCTCCCTCCGTGTTGAGGGGGAGGCTGCCTCAGGTGGAGGTGTTCAAGTATCTGGGCATCTTACTGGAAATGCATTGACAGACTTGTTTTCAGTAATTAGAGCGTTGCTTCGGTCGAGCATGGTGAAAAAGGAGTTTAGTCGAAGGGCAAAGCTCTTGATTTACCCCTCCGTCATGTTCCATCCTTCACCTGTGGTCATGAGGTTTGGATCATGACCAAAAGGGCGAGATCCAGGATGCAAGCAGCTGCAATGAGCTTCCTTTGTAGGGTGGACGAGCTCATCCTTGGAGATGGGCCGATGAGCTTCGTCGTCCGGGGGAGCCGCTGCTCCTTCGTGTTGAAAGAAGTCAGTTGGGGTGGTTTGGGCATCTCATGAAGATGTCTCCTGGACACTTCCCTTTGGAGGTTTTCCAGGTACGTCCTGTGGGACGAGGCCTCTGGACAGACCTAGAACTGTCTAGAGAGATTATACATCCTCTCTGGTCTGGGAACACAATGAGATCCCCCCATCAGGACCAGTTGCCTTGACCCAACGACAGATGGAGACGTTTTGATGTATAACTTGCACGTTTTTAAATCGCAGCTAATTACCAGTAAATATTATTAAAAGGTTCGCTCTTATCGTGTCTGTCCATACTTAACTGATGCCCGGGGTCGTTTTGACTCCGTTTACATCCAGGGATTATTTTACTGACTCAATATTCAAATGTAAACAAACTACTTGTAATAGACGGCAACAAAACATGACGGATGACTTTGCTTACACTTTACAAATTATGAGGTAGATCTATTGGGTAGTGAATATTTAGTGGGGGGGTTATCAGAGATGCTACAAATATAACACACGTCTTTTTAAACAAATTGACGGCTCTTATGAATGATGAAACGCAACAAACGGCCGTGAAGACTCGAGTTAGTCGACCTCTAGTTGTAACACCATTAGATAATAAAGAGAAGTGGCACTGCCTGTAATTATCCCTTGACAAAGGTGTTAAATGGTGAGCCTGCAGTGTTTCTATGCCAATGCAGAGTCTGGATTTTCTTCGGAGACTAAACATTTTGGCACAAAGTGACTCAGTTGTTGTTGTGAGGAAGTTGGAGCATTACGACAGGCAGCAAGCTGGAAATAGACCTGAGCAAATGACGGCGCTATTTTTGACTAACCTAACCCCCGACTATCACACTGCTTTCCAAATAAACTGACAAACTCGTTTATGCACGTCTTGGTTGGGTCGAGCCTTCGTGCGTCTCTTTCTGAAGGGAGTAGTGCGATACTGCTCCCTCTGTCAGAGCTTTAGTTTGTTTTCCAGGCGGTGTCCATGTGGCAGCGAACAGCAGTGGGCAGCATGTGCCAACAGCTGACTGAACCCACGAGGAAACGGATCGAAGATCTCTGCGCGGGCATCGAGGCATCCTGGTACCAAGTTGTCACTGAGGCTGGACGCCTGATGTCTTTGGTTTCAGTTGTGTTCGCAGCGCTAACGGGCAGAGCCGCCTCCATCGGGGTTTAGTTAGTTTGTTTTTTTACTGTTTAATAGATGGAAAAGGGTCCGTTTAAGGGCGGCGCGATGGCACAGTTGGTCGAGCTGTTTGTTGCTGGATTGAATCCCAGCTGACGACCTTTCTGAGCGGAGTTTGCACAAGCTCTCCGTGCATGTGTGGGTTTTCTCCGGATACTCCCAAATACGGTATTTTCCACCGTACACGTTACACCGGCATCGGTCCAAATACGTCTCATAAAGCGGAAAAATCCATAAATGCGTCGCTTCGCTGTATGAGTCGCAATGTTTCCTCTAGTTTACTTGCCGTCGCCGGGTGCTCTTCTCATCCATGATTTTTGTTGATGGGGAGGGAAGGAGACATGTCTGAGCGCAGCTTGTACCAACAGTTTTTGAGCCGGGGCGGGGGGCGTCCAACATGAGGGAAGAGGCGCCTTTAGTGTTTTAGCTAGACAGCCTGTATTTCGTGCTGCTAGCTTGGTGCTATGTCAGTGCCGGATTGGGTGGGGGGGGCAAGTTCGGTTTGGTAAGTGGGGTGCTCAGTTCTGTTGACGGGGTGAGACACCCCGCTTGTATAATTGTAGGGGAAACACTGAGTCACATCTATTATGCGTCACTGCTGACAGCCTGGAAATGTGGGCCGGTGTTGTGCCTAAAATCGATCGGCTGCCAAATGGCAGGAGCGTGCACGGGAGGACTTTAACAAGAATTTAACAAGATTAACACTTAAAAACAATTGTTTGTTCAGCATTATAGCAAAGGGTGTGTCTCAGTTGAACTTTTACTTAATAAATGCACTTCAATGGTCAAATCGGCTGAATTTCGCCGAGGCGCCGCAGCGAAATGAAGCGGATTCAGTTGCTCCGGGCAGATGACGTTGCCGGCTATGGCAAGCCGATTGTGTCATTAATAGCCACTTTTACCTATTACATGATACAACAGCATGGCCTACACTCGAGTGTCATCTATTGGCTGAAAATGGTAGTGTTCATTATTTTTAGTCGGAATGAATGAAAACGGTCGTATCTCAGCCAAACATAAATATGGGAAAACCATAAACCTGTTGCGTCGGCGGATAAGTCACAGGGAATGTAAATTATGCAAAAAAACACAACTTATAGGCCGAAAAATAATGTTAAGTTCACTGTAACTAGCTTGTCCCTAGGTGTGAGAGAGTGAATGGTTGTCTTGTTTGTCCCTGTGATGGACAGGAGACCTGTCCAGGTGTCCCCACCTCTTGCACAGTGACTGCTGGACACGGGCACCCGGAAAGTAAATGATGGAGTTCGTTTAAAATAAGACCTGGATAATCTCATGCTGAGAAAAGTTGTCCTCTGTTTGGTTCATACCTTTTTTTTTTTTTTTAAATAACTTTATGGTCAATGTCATGTGATGATGTAAGCTCTTGTGCGATCTGTTAATGGTTGGAATGGGTGTTCTGTAGGATTGTCGGCTACTACCACACCAAATTTCAGCTCGGCATCCGCAAAATTGTCTGAGTGACATTTTTGTGTTGGTTAATTTGACTGTGGCGACCTTCTTCATTTGACTGGACCAAAAGTTAAGTTGATGTAGATGTCAAACCAATGATTGTTCTTCTGACAGTTTTGTTAAAGTCTGTTCAGTATTTTGTCAACGGTACATGTAAACGAACACACGTGAGCAAAACGTCGTCGCTCGGCGTTCGCCTTTAGCGGCAGGCGGTAACATTTCAAACGTTTTGATGCCTCTATCAAAGAGAACCAAGATCCAGAGACAAAAACATCTGCTGCAGTGGCTCTTCGATCAGTCTCCATGGTAACCACACACCTGTCTCACACTTACTGAGACGGGCAGAAACCCAGACTTGAAAGTAAGCCTCGGACATTGCGGCGCATCATGAAAACTAAGGTTGTATTAAAAAACAAACAGCTGTATTTAGCAGCAGAGTCTAGTTGTCACACGTAATTTAATCCAGTTTATTTAAAAAGCACCAAGTCACAACAGAAGTCGTCTCAGGACACTGAACAGAAACATTCACATACATCATAAAAGCCCGTTGGTAAAGAACTTTACCAAGGAAGCAGCAGATGTGTTGAGTCTTCACTTGGTCACAGTCTCCCATCCTGAAGAAGCACAAAGGAGACAGTGGAAAGGAAAAACTCTCTTTTAACGGGAAGAAACCTCCAGCAGAACCAGGCTCAGGACGAGCGGTCATCTGCTTTGACCGGCTGGTTGAGA